TGGACCTCAACCACCTTCACTGGACCTCAACCACCTTCATTAGATCCCAACCACCTCAGTGCTCTCCTGAACGCCCCTGGGCAGAGCCCGCACCCCCTCATGCCACAAGCACTGCTCATCACCGCACACGCTGCGTCTTCCAGCAGTGCACCACAGCCATCCTCGGGTTTAAAACCAAAATAAAGACCCGTTTCACGTTTCTTCAGCAGTGCGGCTCAATCAGGAGAGCAAAGTGGAAACAACGCTGCACCTTTTGGAAGGGCTTTGGGAGCTCAGCAGAAGCAGCAGCGTGCACAGCCACCTCCACAGCAAATCAAACCACCCGGGCAAAGCAGATCAATGGCCGAGAGGAACACGACAAAGGAAAATCATCAACCACAATCACCATCCACCTCTGCAACGTTTACACTTGGGAAGAACAGCAAAAGCTGCTGATACCCACAGCAGATGTCCTCTCTCTGTATCTCAGCAATATCTTAAACAAGGTCAAGCACATGCAATCATAATTGCCTCCTAACAAATGCTACCTAAAAAGGTGGAACTAATATCCGTAAGAGCTGAAAGCTGGTATCGTGCCCTTATTTAGGCACAGCGCTGGAAGACCTGGGCGATTTTCATCTAAGAAAGCTAATTGGGAGAAATCCCTCACTCCTGTGCAAAGCCATCAATCCCAGCTCGGCGACTCGTCTGAGCACACGCCTAATTTAAAGCCTGAAAGCAGCCCTGCTGACAGCAGGCACGTGCTGAGCACCGGGATGACCCAGAACACCCCCAGAAAATGCACCACAGCAGCTCTGTGTGTCAACGAAGCACAGCGATACGGCGAGGACGGCGGCTGCCAGGCTGGGGGCTCAGCACACACATCTGCTCAACTTTAGGCACACAAAACATTTTTCAGCCCAGTGACCCCACAGGGAAATGCCTCACACATCAGCTCATCTGACTCAAATTTTCCATCGCATTTCCCTCGGTGCAATTTTGCCCATAAAGACTCCGTTTTTTGTTGTTTGTTTTTTTTATTCTTCCAAATATAGCTTTTTATTTATAGCTCGGGCAAACAGTTCACCTCGCAGCACCACCGAGAGCCCCACGCTCTTGTAGGCAATGCCCTCCTTAGGGGATTATTACCAAGATTTGGGACCACGGCATCGATGCTGGCAGGAGGAACGGCCCCCATTCACCGAGCGTCCACCAACTTTCATCTTAAACCACAGTTTAATTCAAGCACAAAACCCCTTAACAAGGGGGGACTGTTTAACACCCCCCACCAGACCTCCCAGTCAACCGCAGTGTTGCAGTGGGAACGAAAGGGAAATGCAGAGAGTAGGAAACACCCGTGTATTTTTCACTGGAACGGTTCCTCGTTGGTCTCAGCTGCCTGAATGACAGCAAAGCGCTCAGGATCCCAACCCAGGCCTGGGCTGGATGGGACAAAGTGGTGTTTTAGGAGAGTCGGGGTGTTTCTGCACTTACAGAACTGCTGCAGCCAGCACGTCCCCAAGCCAACAAGTGTGAGTTAAAAATTCAGCGCCAACTTCATCCGCTGCATTCCGGGCTCACAGCTACAGAGCTCTGCCCTTGAACCCCGTCCTTGCCACATGTAAAGCCACGTAAAATCAGAAGAGACCTTTCAATATCTCACCCGTGCTGCACAATTCCCAAATTAATTATCTCTTCAGCCTGCAGGCAATTCCTCGCAGACGCAGCTTTTCTAAAATTAAAAGCAGCAAAGCGCGCCCAAATCCTTTCCTGAATTCTTAAACTCGGGTTCAGTGCGGAGCTCTGAGCCCTCCTGGCCTCTTTTCCTCATCCCAGGCGACCCGCAGCCCTGAGCCCAGCACCCTCAGCTCCCAGCTCCGTGCAGCCCTGGATCACCTGTGACGGTTTGGATATTTCCTGCCAAAAAAGACACTCCTCTACCAAGGGCTACAGGTGGTGCAAACCGAACCCAGCCAGAAAACAAACTGAAAGGGACAATTCCTGCTCTACAAACACGCGTTTAGACCTGCAAGGTGATTCAAACCAACACACAGAACTTAAACCACGAAGCAATGCTGAACAAAGAACTGCTCCGTTCCACTTTTTAACACTGAAGCACCGTCTGCTGCTCAGAGGCATCAGCGACAGCAGAACTTACAATTTCAGCCCTGGAAGCACAAAGGCGGTCACTTGGATGGGGTACAGATGTAATCTAAGCAGAACTGCAACTTGACAGAGCCGGCCTGAAAAGCAAAAGGGTGACAACGAGAGGCGGCAACCGGAACAAACCCGCAGCACGGCTGCGAAAGAACTGAAAATAAATGCCTCTACCCGCTGTCAGCGCACAGCACAACGCTCCCCGTGCCCGGCCCGATCCGCCGCTCTCTCTACGGCCAAACGTCGGTCGAGAAAGAAAGGCACAGCAGCAGGGCGGCTGCCCTCGGAGGAAGCGCAGGCACCGACCGGCTCACTTACCTGCGGCCCCGCCGGGCGCCGGGCATGGTGAGCGGCTCCCGGCCGGCCTGCACGACGCTGCCGGGCGGCGAGAAAGGAACGGAGCAGCCGCGCATCCGTCAGAGGCAGAAAAGATGCCCGGGTTCAGCCCACCCATCGCACGGCACGCCCCCAGCTCCGCTCCGCTCGCCGCGGGGACACCAGCGCTGCCCCTCGTGCCGGCCCAGCGCTGCAGCACCGCTCGTCTTTCTGCCGTCCCGCTGCAGGGGAAGACGCGCTCCGACAGAGCCGGCGTGGCGGCTCGCAGATAGAAGCAGCGCACGTACCGAGCTCCCCGCTCCGTCCATCGGAGCAGCGCTTTGCTTCTCCCCTGGGAAAGCGAGCACACGTTCCGTGCGTTCTTAGAAAGAAGCGTCCATGGCTGAATTCACATTGCTTCCCTGCTCAGACAAACGGGGCACCCGGCTGCTGAACCCAATTGTTGCTCAAGAATCCATACTGCACGCGCCTGCCCTAATTACAGCCCTGCCCACTGTCTCCTCTTTGCAATCAATTTGATAGTGGAAAAAAAAATTAGCGCTTCCCTGGGAAGCCAGGGCTGAGCAGGCAGAAAGAGCCGGGATTGATTCCTCTGAAAAGAGAAAGGGATGAAAAACAGCCCTAAAAATAGATGTGCAAATGTCACTGTTGTGAAATCCTAAAGCAATGGTGAAAGGCCCCACAGAGGCCGGAATGTTCCTAAGGGAGCCATTGCTGCTGAGGGATGGAGCACACGGAACAGAGAGTGCTGTGCTATAGGGCAGCAC